GCATTTCTACTCCCCAAATGCCTATTTAACCCAGGAAAAGCTATTGTATGTGCTTAAATCAACGTGTGCTATATTGATAGCATTTTCTATAGAAGGAAAACAACACAAAACAAAAAACAGTCAGAAAAACTGGAAACAACCCAAATGGTTCATTAAATAGTTGAGTAACATTCAACATGGATGAATGTACAAAATCTGGAAAGAAACAAACTTGTGGAATGAAACCGTATGCTATCGTTATATTAAGTTCAAAAATGGAAATTAAAACACTATTTTAAAAGAGTCCTTATATAGGTGGCAGAGCAATGAAAAAAACCATAGGAATGAAAACCTCAAAATTCAGGGTTGCTTTTAACATCAGTGGTAGGTGGAGGCAAAGAAATCTATTCTGGTTAAAAAAAAAAAAACCCACCAAAGAGATTTATTTATCTCTAAGCGTGGTCATGAGTACACAGTTATTTTTAGTTACTGTTCTCAATACTTGACCTATGTTACATCAATTCTTTTGTAATGGAGCAAGCCTTGAATGATAATGAATAAGAAGACAAAAGCAAAATCTTACTGATTTACCAATTTTTTCAAGAAATAATGAACTCATGGTTATTCTTCTCTAGAAAAGAAATGTTAGTTTTGGGGACTGACTTGTTATCTGACTTGGTGTCTGCCAATCATGTCACCTCCCCCAGTGACTGAAGGCCAGCTGGCTTCTAGTGTTTCGTCTGGGCAGAAGGCAGTGGGGACTAGGGATAGCATGGCGGAGGGGTGCATGTCAGGAGGCAGGCTCAGGTAGCTGGTGTAGGGTCATTTGAGTTCCCTGTCTTAAGGAGAGCAAGCATTGTCTTTGGCTTAGGGCAGAATTTGGTCAAATTCTTCCCTGTCACTCAGCAAGTGATTCCACTGCTATCTTTGTATTATTCTAGTCATCTGGGTTTACAGGGACACTGTATAGTGGTTTTGTGGTGTGGAAGCTATTGCTCCCTAATTTTTATTTCTTGAATATCACTTTGTAGTGTCATGATTACAAGGCTTGGAAGAAGATAAACTCTCTGTCCATTCTGAGTATAAATGGGCACTTGAGATGAAACCACCTAGTTAATTTCCCCTTGTTGCCAGAGTAGAATCTGAATCCAAACCACAGCACAACCTAGACCCTAAATCTCTATTAAAAACCACCTTGGGTAGTCTGGCAAAGCTTTATTTAAAGTCAGCAGAGAATTACAAAGTCAAAAGTGAAAAATGGTGCAACAAGAAAGAATCATAAAAAAATACTAGATCAGTTAAATGTAGTCAAAGGCAATTTAGTGTGTTCTGGCACCAGTCCTTATTGATGCAAAGAATGTGATGTGTCAAGGGTCGGCAGGAACATGGAGGAACTGCGGAATTAAGAATGCAGCTCCACGCTTGACTCTGGGGCAGCCCCACAGGCCGTGAAGGATGCTCTGCTCTTCTTTAGTGCTAAGAATTCATGGAGACTATTCTCATGATCCCAGTCTGGACATATGTTCCTTCTTTCTTGATGTTGTATATTTTTTAAATGAGAATTTTTTTCTTTCATAGGGATAAGCTAAGCCAGAGGCTACATACCTTGGGTCGGACCAAGGAGGTGGGTATTCTTCATCAGTCTTTTTGTATCCAGTCACTGCATTGATCTGTCTTTTCACATCCACACCCAAAGCTTTGATTGTTTCTGCCTCATCTTCTCCGGCTCCTTTAGTTACTATTATAGCTGATCTAATTAGTAATAACCACAGCTACCATGTTAGGCACCTGCCATGTCTAGGTGCTGTGTGAGGGCCTGGATATACATTATCTCACTAGTCCTTGCTAAAACACTATGAGGGAGCCCTTTGTATCATACTGATTTTACAGATGAGGACCACTAATGCTCAGGGACTCAGAACTCATTTGAGATTACACATTGAGTAGCAGAAACAGGACTCACCAAGCCTGACTCCTAAGCAGGTGCATTGCTAGAAAGGTTGCTTCTCTAACCTAATCACCAGGCACTGTACCTCTGGAGAGCATAGTTGTGGTCTAGGATCATATTGAGAATGAAAGACTAAGGCCAGTGTTTGAATACCAGCTTTGTCACTTACTGGCTTTGTCACCTTGGACAAGTTACTTGATTATTCTGTATGTCCCTCTCTGTAAAATGTGTATAATAGTAATACTCTCCTTAGTAGGGTTATTGTGAAGATTGTCTGAGCTGTTATAAGTGTTTGAAAGAGTTCCTGGCCCATACTAAGTGCTATATGCATGAATGTTATTACTGTAGTTGTTACCATTTCTTTTTTTTTAAATCATGTATTTAAAAATGAAAATCTGGAAACACCCAAAATATATAATAATAGGCATTAAAGGTGGCATGGGGTCTGTGGAATATTTTCAATCACAATGCCATTTATATTATCAGCATTATTGTTGTTACTGGTTTTGATATATCTTCTGAAGACAGGATGCCTTCCTGGAGAGAAGTGGGATTGGCTAAATAGGAAGTGAAGTGTCAGCCTCTGTGGCAGGTCAAGGGGGTGAATATACTTAGGCAAGGCACTTAGTACCCTTCCAGTCCTACCTTGTGGGGTGCACTTTTGGTAGACCCCCTTGTCACAAGTGAAGTGGTTTTAGAAGGTCACATGTGGAAGCTGGATTCCTCAGGTCCTCCTTTTGGATACTTGTACATGAGAGTCAGGTTCTGGGGCACCTGCCTTCCTTTGCCATCTATAGTTCGACCTCTAGGAAAATGGGAAAGATGTTTGGAGACTTCCTTGGTTCTAGCAGGTCTTACCAGAATCTCAGTTGTAGATTCAAGAGGAGTGATTGGTTTAATGTAAATGCTTTAAAGGATCTGAAAGAGATTAGAGAAACCTATTCCATAGGATAAAGGTAGGGCAGGAGGGAACCATTTATCTCCTGGACATTCAATTCCCTAAGAACTTTTTTGGGAATGACCAGAAACAAGCCAGGCCATATGCTGTCCATTTGCTGTGCTCTGAGCTGTGGACTTTTTCTTCTTTGACAGATCGAGGCCGATGCTATTGCCTCATTTAAGATGGTTCTTAAACTTGAAAAGGAACTGAAAGGTTGAGGCTTGCATGCAGAGTCAAAACAGATGATTTGACGAAAGGAGTCCTGACAAACACCAGGGCTCTCCCGATTGTCAGAAACAGTCTGATGATGACATGTTCGAAGCTTCCCAGACTGGCTTGCGTTTTGGTAAATATGAGCAATCGGGGAAGACATAGTTATGCTGCGGAGAGTTCTGAGCTGTGGAGAGAACAAGTTAATTGTTCAGCCTCAACTGAGACCTTTCACTCAAGTCATTAATCACCATGCAGAGTCTGGAGCCTTGGCCCTGGAGTTCGATTTTTTCGGCTGTTCTCCCTCTCCAGATGAAGGCTTGCTCCAGGTGCTGGCCATTTGTGTTTCCCTCCAACTGGCCTGATTTATGGACCCAGAGATGTATCCTGGTTTTTCCAAATTCTGTTCCATTACTTTGTAATAAAGGGGACATGTGATTTCTGGTTTTGTGCAGGTCCTCAGTTTTGACATCCTTAATACCAAAGATTTTTTCAATTAGTCTGTGGCCTGCCTTCTGTGATCTAGAGGAGAGAAATGCTGTGCTGTGTTTTGAGTATCAAAGTGAAGACTTCAGAGACTCCCTTGTTTCTTTCCTCGTTGGCTAGAGTTGAAGATGCAGAGTCCTGCACGAGATCTTGTTCCTGCATTCAATATCTCAAGGCAAATTAAGACTTGGGAAACCTTAGTGACAATAGCTCACCACAGCTGTTGGAGTTATCCTCATCCCACCCTGACACATATGGTTCAGGGTATTATATCAGGAAGCCTTCCACACTTGGGCCAGGTCTCCGGTGACAGTGTAAGCCAATATTGAAGACTTCACAAGAGAATCTGAGTGTCAGAGGAGGACATTGTAATACTGAGGCTAAACAGGGCACTGCTGAGTGTTACCTGCTTGACTCAAAGGTAAACCCAATCTGTGCTGATAAGGGGCAACAGATCCCTTGGGAGTTTTCCCAAGTGGCAGAAATGTGTCACAGAAAAGTAATTGGAAATTGATATTTGACATATCACTGGGTTAGTTTTAATTCCTGATAACACCAAAGGGTTTGGCCAAGAGTCGCTAGTAACTAATGCATGAAATCCTGCAATCCACTGCTGAAATCCAATCTCTTTTTTTGTTGGAAGTTCAGCAGCTGCTTTCTGATCCTTTGCTTCCTAACTAGCACTGCAAGTATAGACGCCCCTGGGCTTCATTTGGGTGAAATGAATGGTGAATATACCCAGTCATGCCTTTAATACTTCTCTGAAGCAAAGTCATCACTGGCAGTGGAGTACTGTCCTTAAAACATGATTCAATCTAACAGATACTTGTTCAAAGCCTACTCTGGGCTCTGTATTGTGTTGTGTGCCATGGGACATACAAAATAAATATCAAATATGGCCTCTGCCCTCGAGGAACTTACAGGCTCATAGGAAGGATGATGTGTTTATGAAACACATTTTACATGGTAAGATAAGATATCATGTATGTGCCAAAGTGAGTGGAACCTGGAATAAGTACAGCAGGGAGTCAGGAAAATGAGTGTAGGGCAGACTTAGAGTTGTCAAGGACGGCTTTATGGATGAGGTGAGACAAAGACATCAGTATTCCAAACCCAGAACTTGCCCTTAAAGAAATTGCAAGGAGCACAGTATCAGGTTGCCAAGAGATTATGGCACCCCTTTAAGTGAAAGTAAATTTGTTCAACATGAGAATGGATAATTTACTTCAATAAGTATTATTGAGTACATGCTTTGTGCCAACCACTGTATCTGATGAGGTAAGGAATGAGTAATCCCTACAAAGGACACATGTGGGTAATTCTCAGTTGCTACCTCCTCTTAACATAGATTTTAAAAGTTACTGCTGGTCTGTGTGATTCCTGAACCTGTGATTTTTACCACTTATTGTTCTAGCTCTAAAAAAGACCTTCTCATGCTTGCTTCAGCAGCACATATACTAAAATTGTAATGACACAGAGAAGATTAGCATAACTCTTATGCAAGGATGACATCCAAATTCTTGAAGCATTCTATATAAAAAAAAAAAGGAAAAGAAGAAGACCTAATCCAAGATATCTTCAGGTTGAGGAACTGAGTCTAATGTTTCTGTGTGTAATGGAGGAATGACATATCCAATTTCATAAGTTGTATACAGTTTAAAGAGTTGCATGAATGCTGATTGTGGAAGGAAGGAACACTGAGTTAGCATTTGAGTAGCCTCAAATTATTGGGTTAGGGAATATTTGGAATAGCATTTGAAAAGTCTGAACCTGTCCCAAACTCAGGATCATAAGCAGAGCCCAAGCTCTCTGAAGATCAAGTTTTCTTGGAATTTCCATTATTCCCCTTGACAGCTGTTTTAGAAACCCAATTAGAAGGGTCTTCCAACCATGGGCCTTTGAGATAATTTTGAACTGGGTTCTTTGGCACTTGTGAAGTTTGAAATTGGCACTACCCAGATATATTGGTTAAGTTACTAAAAATTCTACCTAGATTCTTCCTTGCAAAATGTGAAAATTATTTGTTCATTTCTTAAAAGACAGGCATAACTAAGCAATTGCAAATCAGTCTAGAAAGAAAAGTCAGGATGACAGTGGTGGTCGTCATGGAAATGGTAGTTATTATTTCACATATCCACCCAATTTATAAATAATATAACCACAGAACACTAGTAAACTCTGGAAAGAATCTAAGATATGAAACATCGAGGCGCAGAGGTGTCAGAGTTTATTTAGCTAAGCAATACCAGAAGAGGACTAGAAAATCCCCCTTTCTAGCTAGTGATCATTCTCATACCACAGTGGGACCCCTGCTTTATAAGCCTTGCTTCTCTGCCACCCATGTAACTGGTTTTTGAGGCTCATTTAGGTATCAAATTTAAGTGGAATTCTGAGAAAACTTCTTTTTTAAATCTGGGGGGACTGGTAGAAGGAAAAGCTAGAAGAAATTTGAAATCACTCTTGATTCCTATCATTTTTCTTAGCGTCTAATCACTCTTCATTGGAGAGGTTCATCTCGGCCCCCATGGGTAGACACAGAAACATGTGCTCTCTCACTCAGCTGTATACATATGTACACATTGACATGCATTCCTTTTCATCATCTGTAGGCATTTTACAAATAATGGCTTGTGTGTGTGTGTTTTATCATCTTATTTTTAAAATGAAAATGACAACTCCAAAATTCTTTGCAGAAATAGTTCTTCTTTGGTAAGAAAAAAAAGAAATTCCAATATGTAGGCCAGGGTCACCACTGGGTCATGAAATTCCATGGAGGGTGTTGGCCTGGGGAGGGTATAAGCAGTGGCTTTGTAATTTTTGTCCTTCCATCCTGGGGCAGATGGGCCAAGTTGATAACAAAGAAGTTCAGTAGTGGAGAGCTAGTGAAATCAACTCAAATGAGACGGCTAGAACAAGACTGGGAGTGCAGACAACGAACTGGCGTGTGTGGATACCCTCCCTATCTGTTCCAACCTCTTTCTCATCTGTGAGGTTATGACTGGGCTAGAGGTGGAACTTTTTTTTTTTCGGCTTTTGAGTTGGAACTTTTTTCTTTTTGATGAAGCTGTCTTAGGAGCTTTCTTCTTGAATAGTGCCCAGGGGATTTTGTAGTGCTGGGAGGATCAGAGTGGGGCCCGGGAGAGAGGAGACAGACCATTCAGAACCTGATCCAGGTTCTGGGTTTAGAGTGAGAAAGTCCTACAAAGTTTCTATAAACCAAAGAGGCGAATTGGCAGATTAGACTCACCAAACTCTGTCTGTCGGTGTATCTGCCCAGGAGGCTGCCTTTTTGAAATCATCCAAAGCACTGCCCCCAGATATGGAAATTTTAAACTTTCTTCTAGGTTGTCCAGGCCTCTGAGGAAAGCACTCCTAACATACTTTCTCTTGAACATGGGCAGTGAGGAAACCCAGGACCTCACTGAGCAAACCAGCTGTAGAAACCACCCTTTCTTAGTGGGCAGGGGAGATCTAAAAGGGAAATGACCAAAGGGTCCTTGATTTCACTCTTGAGGAGGGAGCCACAAAGCCTAGGGTGTGGAGACCCAAATTTCCGGACTCCCTCCTCTCCAGGCTCCCTTTAACCTGGCCTCAGTGGTTCCTTCTTTCCCTGTCTATAAACCTGGTATCATAGTGACTGTGTGGATCCTTGTGCTTAGCGTCATGGAAGGGTGAGGATTCTGGAAGAACCTCAGTTGACTTTGAGGAGCTGAGAGGCCACTGTGGAAATAGGAGAGACAAGCACAATCATGCCAGGTAAGTGTATGCAAAGCCTGCCTGACAGCAGCTAGGGGACCTTGAAAATCAGAGACCGCCATCACCTATGGAGAGACGCTCCCACCTTCACCTCAGTGACTATTTCTTCTCATTGAAGAATGAGAACAGTAAATGGCCTAAAGCAAGGTAAAAGCAAATCCCTTAACTTTGTTCATTTCCTGACCACAGTACTTGGTGGTATTGTTAGTAAAGGCTCCTGGCAGTTCTCATGGGAGATATGCCAGAAATGAGGCCACAGAATGCTCGTTCACCTGCTTTAAGTTCTTTCAGAAATAACATGATTTATAAAAGAATGCAGAATCATCATTGTCAATCAAGATGTCATTTTCATTTTAGGATGTCCAGAAACAGAGGGATATTATATCCTTTGTTCTTGGAGCACCACAGATGCCCAATTATGCACAAGGTTCCCTCTTGTCATTGAGTGCTTGCAAGCCTAGAGGCAACCAGACTCTGGTTTCAGAAAGACATTGCTGCTGGTGGTGTTCTCACCTGAGTATCTCCCTGGAGCTGTGCAGTGGGAAGCGTGGCCCTCCTTAGCTCCCCTGCATTCTGATAGGGTGGCCAACAGCAAGGTGCATGCAGATCTTAGAAATGGTAGGAGACTTGGGGTAAACTGTTCTCAGCCTCTGTCTAGGGAGATTGACAAGGGTACCTTTAAAGGGGTGGGGAAATAATTCATAACTTTTGGTTTTGTCTGCAGATAAACCTATGCCAACAGGTACTTGTTTCAAAATGTGAGTATCTGATTAATATAGAATCAGGCATCTGGAACAGAAAGCACTGAAACTGGGAGGGTTGGGTTGCACTTAAGTGTCTTCTATTCTGACCATAGCTGTCTGTATGTACATAGTAGGCACTGAAAATATTTGTTGATTGGATTTTCTTTGATTGAGATAACATGGTTGCTTGGGTTTGAGTCCAGATGTTTGGCCTCCAGCCAGAGTTATGTGCTCTGTGTCCTGTCATCAGCCTCCCACCACTGAGATGGTTGGCAAGGGGCAGCATTCCTCCTGTCCCCATGGTGAGGTCTCATCTCACCTCTCTCAGCTCATGCACGCTCACTCACATGACTCCAGGCCACAGAACATTGTGCAGGTGGCCTGTGGAACTGGCTAGCTGCAGAAACTGTCCTCCACACCTCCATTTCCCATAGAGTCATTGTGGTTGTATCTAATGACTGAGAACATTGGTGTCTCACCTAAAAGTTGACAGCAGTGCTGGTCACAGGGACTTGAGCAGAGGTGTATTCATTCATTCCATTGGTCATGACAAAAGTGTTGAGTAAAGGCCTATTAGTTCACAGAACTGACCTGAAACACCAGGAAGAAATATGAGAAGACCTGTGATAGGGAAAGAAGGTTAAAATGTGAGTGGAAAGGTGAGACCTTCTTTAACTCCTAAGGGACAGTAACAAGCAGGGTGGTTCCATTAGTGCTGATGGCATGCTCAAGAGACGGGAAAGGATGCTACATGGTGGAGTGGATACATGGTACTCTTGAATCTAGTCTGCATTTCATATCTGCCTCGTAATTCCAGCACATGGCTTTAAGCTCAGGCCTCAATTCCCTGCTCTGTAAGATAAGGAGAATGTCCTCTGTTGTTTTTCAGACCTATCCCTCTTTGGTGCTTTGATCAGGAATTATGGGATCCTTATTTTTCCATAATTTACTGTCCCCAAATACCTAGAACTTTACTTTCATAGGTAATTGAGTGGACTTCTAGTATTCTAAGGACCCTAGGAATGAAAAGTACTGAAGGAAGGTACAGACTGTGTACTAATGTCTTGGTTAAAAACCAACAGCATTTGAAAGTCTATGAAAATCCATTTAGGGTAAAAATAGAAAGATTTGTTATGGTTGGGAATGGATCTCTTATTCATAGTGAAACAGTAGCACATTTTATCTTTCTTCAAGGATCACATCTTTGGTTCAGCTATTTATCTCAGGACCAGGAGCATCTTGTGGCCCTTGAGTTCATCCACACACCGCCTTGGTTGCTCATTGCTGGTACTGTAGCCTTATAAGTAGGTACCAGAAGACTTATGCTGCTGGCATTAAAGGTAGTTTCTCTTCAGCCCACCCAAGAAATAAGGGCTGTTTTTTTGTGGGTAGTTGATAAACTAAAGATAGAATAATTCATCTGGAGTTGAACCCAGCAAGTAGTGTAAGTAGAAGTTATAATCCTGTCTACCTGAAAGATAGATTCTCTACCCAGGTGGTTTCCCGTCTCTTCAGACTCCATGGAGCGAGATCACATGGGTACCCTATGTAAAGGGCAAAGCATAGAAGTCATTAAAAGCCTCTCGCTTGTGTGTTGTACTGTGTAGTTCTCTGAGAGGCTTATAGCAATTATTAACCAACTTGATGAATCCCCATCATAATCCTCTGTGATCAGTGTTATATTCCTAAATGACAAGAAGAGACTGAAGTCTAAGTGTATTGATGGGGTTAGGGATTTCTCACAGGACCATTCTGATGGATGAATGAAGAGCATCCACCCTCAAGCTGCACAGAACCCTCTCTTGAGTTGAACTTATTCCATAGGTTAAAGCATTGCTCACCCTGGGCACTCCTTTTTAAAATACAGATACTCCTGGGAAAGAATTCCTATCAAGGAATTTTCTATCAATTAACTAAATGCCTGAATGTTTTTTTAAGTCATTTTCATTGAACAGAGTTGAGCACAGCATACTAACTTGTTAAAATTCAGGTAAAATGAAGGGGGACCAGGATAGATTGGGATTTGGAGCAACCACCCTAG